AAAAAAAAAAAAAAAAAAAAAAAAAGGAAAAACAAAAATCGCAAGTAACTAAAAAGAAAAAAAACAAAATCAAACAATATAAAGCTTCTTCATACAAAAATCATAATAATAACAATAACGAAAACGGATGAAGACGAACAAACGATTCCAGAAGCATCAATTCCAACACAATCAGAGATTCATCGATCATAAACAAACGCAAATTCAATCAAAATTACGGGACAACAAACCATAAGATCAAAAGAACGCAATGCGAAAAACAGATTAAAAACAACATAACACTGAAAAAACAAAAAGAACCGAAACAGAAACATACTCTGAGGATGATCGGAGGTTGAAGGAGGAGAGGTGCAGAAGGAGAAAGTTCATAGAAAGTTATAGGAACACAAGGAAAATGGAGCGATAAAAATGGGTCAGGGGAAAAAAAGAGCGAGAACGAGAGGCGTAAGGGCCGTAATGGTTGTTAGAAACTTAAATAGCTCTCTGACTATGTGATTAGAAGGCTAAAATAAGTGTTACGTGGTGCATGTCCCGCTTAATTTGCCTATCTTCTTTTATTAATTTTTTCCTTTAAATCCCTGTTTTTTCTATTAAAAATATATATATTATATTTCTTTTAAATATTTTAAATATATTTTTGGTAGTTTTTAAAATTTGGGAACATTATTTATTTGTGTAAATTTTGGATATAAAATTATGATTTGTTGCATAAATATATATATGGTTTCAACCTTTAATTATGGGTTACTAAAAACATAACCAAATTTATATTTTTTAATAATATATATTAAAATGGCAGGATTCGAGCTATTATTGAAAGTAGGACCCACATAAAAACAAACTAACTTTTATATTCCACCTTATCTTCGAAGTTGTTACAGACAACAACAAATGTGAGGAAGATCAGATAACGAGGGTTGTAACTGTTCTCGCTGAATTCTATAGTGAGGAGCTGGAGCTCGGCTAAAATGTGAGTGGATTAGGAAAAATCCGAGATGGATAGTGCGATGCTCGTGAATATGATGAACTAATTGCATTTTATTAGGAAGGATGAAACGACAATAATGTTGGAAGGAAGGAGACAATATTTTTCGACGAGGGCAAATCCAAAAGGCTCATTGCAGTGGATGGATGACAAAGCGAGCTTGATGTCGATGAGGAATAAAAAGAATAATAAACTAAATTGTCGGGCGAAAATGAGAGTGAATTTAAAATTTTATAATATTAGGAAAAAGTTGACAAAATAAATCATAAGGTAGGTAAGTTTTAATTATGATTTAAAAATATTTTGGAAAATAGAAATATGGAAAATAAATAAATAAATAAATAAATAAATCCGCAAATAAGGAAATAATAAGCTTTCTATTATGGTATGGGTTTTGTTTTATGATAACTCTGCCAAAATTCTGATACTATGGCGACTTTTTTCACGCGACATTATTCCAAAAGTCCCTTTTATCCTCCAACCGAATTTCTAAAAGTTATTTTTTTTAATAATAATAAATACTTTTATTATTTTGTTTCAATAATATCTTTAAACTTTAAAAAGTTTTATTAATATCATACAATATAATTAAATTCCTTTACGGTTAATATTTACGAAAATTGAAATATGGAAAATAAATAAATAAATACAAAAATTAGGAGATAAAGCATTAGAACTCTTCATGCAACCCAATTTCAAATATTCACAAAATGTTTTAGTAGTGTCTATACTTTTATTTTTTTTCAATTTAATTTTTATGGTAAAAAAATAAGTTTAATTATAATGACTAATTAAAAGTTTTAAGAAATGGATTATTTTAATTGAAACATTTGAATTAATTTTTTTAAAAAAAAGAAAATAATATTTAATTGAGAATCTCTACCCGGTAAAGATATATGAAATGCCGATACTAACTTGGCCATGGAGAAATAAAAAGACGACGACTAATAGGGATGAGCATCCCGTGAATCTTTGATAATCGTACTTAAATGTGGGTCACAAAGAGATCAATTATATACAAATGGAAGTATCCATAAATAAATAAATGTTATTTACAAAATATATCACTTTCCTTTTCCTCGTCCTATGGAACAATACACAGTCGTCTGTTTTCGAAAATGAAGTTTTTACTACGATGACTATGATTAGACTCCATAGCTATTGCAAGATTCACCGTCCAATACCAGAGGGTCTGCCAGAAGTGCGGAGCAATGGAATTTTTGTAAAGAAGTTGTTGCGATATGAGATGGGATTGTTAAAGATTTTGGATGCGCAGGACTGTGTCAGACTTCTTTAGATTGTCTTATAACGAAACATTCCTTATAAAAGTGGTGTGAGATCCCACAAAGCATTTCTTATAAAGGTGTGGAAACCTCTGACTTGTAGACACGTCTTAAAACCGTGAGGCTGACATAGGGCTGTTAACGATCCAAATACACATCTTGGATCCACATCTCTTTAGCTTGCTCTTCTTGTAGTAGCCTGACTGCGGCTGTACACAGGGCTGCTAACGCCGTCCCTCGTCGACGAGTACATGCTGGCTTCGGCTAGCGATTGTAATTTGATGAGTTTGGGGAGAACGACCTTACAAAGATCGGGTCGATCTTTCCTTCTCAACTCTGCACATTTTAAAGCCAACTCTGCAAAGGAGGAGGTTTCTTCAGCTGGCCAATCAGTAACAGATGGATCAAGAATTTCAGACAAAGTCCCTTTCTCAATAGCTCTTTCCACATGGTGAGTCAATCCCATGGGTGGCTTTGCTGTAATCAGCTGCAAAAACATGATCCCCAAAGAATATACGTCGGATTTTACACCGAGCATGCCGGTTTGTTGATACTCGGGATCGATATAACAGAACGTGCCAGCAGTTGAAGTCATTCGATATTGTGTCACACTGTCTGCTATAGATGGGGGAACAAGCCTAGCCAAACCGACATCGCTAATCTTGCTAACGTAGTTGTTATCGAGCAAGATGTTGGCTGGCTTCAAATCACGGTGCACGAGCGGTTCAGGCTTAGTCTGGTGGAGGAACAACAAGGCAGTGCCGATTTCAGCTGCAATTTTGAATCTACGTTGCCAAGAAAGAGGTCTCGAGTTATCTCCCCGGCGAAAGAGGCAGTCATCCAAGCTACCATGTCCCATAAACTCATAGACCAAGCAGCCATATTCAGGGCATGCTCCAAGGAGAAGAACCATGTTCGGATGTCGTATGCAGCTAAGTACTTCGACCTAAACATGATGCCAGAAACAAGTTTAATAGAGTATGTTATGACAAAAAACCACCGGAGAATCTGTGAACAAACGATACCGATACGTTTCTCACCTCTTTCTGGAACTGTGACCTTCCTTGAGCCGCATCGGGACGTAATACCTTAATTGCAACTGGTGTGTGGTCTAAATAACCTTTATAAACAGGCCCATAACCTCCCTCTCCAATCTTTAAAGACTCTGAAAATAACTCGGTAGCAGCTTCGATCTCCTCGATCGAGTACTTCCGATACCTGACGTCTTGGTTTGCCAAAGCATCTAATGCCTTCTTCTTCTCATCTGCTTCCTTGAATGCTTTTATTTCCGCATTAATTCTCTTCCGTGCTTCCAACTCAGCGATCCTTTTAGATGCTTCAGCTGCCTCCATAGCAGCTCGAGACTTTGCCTTTTCCTGCTCGACCATCGCTAACGCAGCTTCCTCTGCATGTCTCGCCTCCTCTAATCTCTGTTCTTCCTCGGATTTCCATCGCTGAAGCTCTATCGCCTGCAGCATATGTGAAGAGTTTGAATGAAACTTCTAAACTATTTCCATATAAAGAAACAATTTCTTTCACCTTTTGTTTAGCTGTAATTGCTTCCTTGCAGGCTGTGCTATACATTTCCATAGTTTGCTTTAGTTCCAGCTTCAGCCTCCTCATCTCAGCCTCTACTTCTTCCTGCAGTCATCAACATATAAAAACAAACATCACGGCTTCGATTTCCTTACAACATCACGGCTTCACAGCTTCTAACACTTACCATACTCTGTGACGAAGTCGATAATCTATCATCTTCTGATAACATCGATGAAAATTCAGGTGGATAGTTTACATCCAATGATTTACGTCCGAACTGCTGTGACTCGAAGCTAACATATATATCAGAATCGTTGCCACTGGACAGTCGTGGGGGAGTCCTTCCTGAATCTGGGGTGTCAAAAAATGTAGGGAACAATCGGTCAACACTCAGCCTTCCCGAGCTAACAAAAGAAATATCGGTATCTGGCAGACTGATTTCCCCTGGCATTTTTCCATGGTAGCCTTTCCTAGTGAACGGTGACCTGCTCCGAAGACAATTTGCTTAATAATGCTCAACAGATCGCTAATTAAAACAAAGCCACCGTGAGCTGAATAATGTAACTCATATCCAAGTTTCTCTTTTACATTTTGAGCTCATTAAGATGCCATAATAACAATTTGTATAAAATGTTGCTAACCTGAACTCGGTGTTGTCCTGGGATCGGCGTGCTGCTTCGAGGGGAGGCTTTTCGGGTCCTAGTTAAGATCAGACGGGTTATTCAAAGCAAACCATGGTAGAGGAGAAAAAGCATAGTAACAATTCAGGAAAAAAACTGAACTCATATTTTCAATCTGAGGAAATTGTGATTCAGCTGAATGTGATCCAACACCAGATTGGCTCAGCAATAAACTTCGAAGAGGAGAAGAAGCAGGAGCAGGACGTGACGCCGTTCGCATATTTTGGATTTTCCCTCTTGATATGACATAAACATTGCAGAAGTCTGGTGCTCCTTTGATAACACTGCCCGGAATATCTATCGTCTTGAATCTTCCGAGGCAAAATGGTATATGAAAACCACCGAGATACGAAAATTAAATTCCGTTCGAACTCAAACAAATAAAACAGAGTGTTAAGGCTCGCTTGTTAAACTTTTCTATTCTCGTTTCCAGTTTTTGACAAACATGAATGTTTAGTATTCCAAGAAATGTTCCCAAAATTGCATATAAAATTTGGACAATAAAGACAAGAAACGAGAACATTACCGAACGAGCTTTAGAAGTTTTGTGCGAGTGAAGAATTTATGAAACTAACTAACTACAAACCTCAAAAAGCCACTTCTAGTCGTGGCACCGACAACCAAATTATCAATTCCAGCCTGAGAGACATATTCGATCAGCGCTTTTCCAACATCTACATCTTCTATGACGATGTCTCTGCAAGACACCTAATGCAAGAAAATAAGGTAAATTTATGATAAGAATGATCCAAAACACATCTTGATTATCATTTTTCTTCTTAAATTTCGCTTAGTTCTCTAATATCTATGTCAAAATCCATTGTACTTTCAAGTAATTGCTTCATTTATGGTAAAAAAGAGGTAGAGAACTTACATCTTTACGGGTACAGAAGCATCGAAAAGGAAGGAACAACTCCCTCGTGCTCGGATCAATTTCCTTGCTTACCGAGACATTGCTATTGCCATTGCCATTGTCAGTTGTTGACATTACCTCTGCACCCAAAAAGCATAGTAATTTGATTTCAATGGAAGCTCACTAAGACTATAAATTTGAAGAACATGGCATAAAAACCTAAAAAACAAAGTAAACACTGTTCCACTCAGTCAAATAATGATTCTTGTAATGTAACAGCCCAAGTCTACCGCTAGCAAATATTGTCTTCTTTGGGCTTTTACCTTTCAAGCTTCCCCTCAAGGTTTTTAAAACGCGTCTGCCAGGAAGAGATTTCCACACCCTTATAAAGAATGTTTCGTTTTCCTCCTCAACCTATGTAGGATCTCATCGCATTTTTAAAAAACCCGAAAGGAAAAAGCTCAAAGAGGACAATATCTGCTAACAGTGAGCTTGGACAATTACAAATGGTATCAAAGTCAAACACCGGGCAATATGCTAGCGAGGACACTTAACTCCGATGGGAGGTGGACACGAGGCAGTGTGCCAGCAAGGAAGCTGAGCCTCGAAGGGGGAGGATTGGGTGTCCCACATCGATCGGAGAAAGTAACAAGTGTCAACGAGGATACTGGCTCTGAAGAAGGGTGGATTGTGAGATCCCACATCAGTTAGAGAGGGGAACGATGGAAGGCCAAAGAGTACAATATCTACTCGCGGTGGACATGTAACCTCAAATCATGCATTTTCCCCCTTCTACCCATATATATTCTAGCATTACATGACCAAATTTCCTACCCTTCTACACCTTTTCTTAGAGGTTTATCTAGTACCGAAAATGAAAATTCTGATAAACAAAAGAGCTAGTTAAACAATGGAGCTTTGCGACAATAATATAATCATTGTTCATTGTTCAACAATTTACTTACTAGGAGAAGTCAGGAACGAGCCAGAATGGGAGGAAGGTCTGAGTTTGACATGGATGAGAATGGCAGTTTGGCCCTTGAGAAGGAGATTCTCAGTGGCCCATTTGAGAGCAACTTGACTTCCTTTGTCCTTATCAATGGCGATTCCCACCAATTGATTTCCGGTGACCGCCTCCTTCTTTTCCTTTACAACCTTATTATGAGTCCACATTTCTCACCAATTGATTTCCGGCGACCGCCTCCCCTTTCTGCAGAAATCAATATAACCATTAAAAAAAAAAGCACCAAAAAAACCAGAGAGAAAGAGAGGAAGAAAAACCCTAACCCTAACCCTACCCAAATCTCCTTGTTCCGGCAAAAGCAAGAAGCAAACCAAGCTCTCTCTGGATTGCCGCTGTGTGTCGGAGGAAACTGTGATTCGTCGGAGAAGAAGGAAGGAAGATGGTCCAAAAATAAGAGCGGAGAGGCATCTGGAATTCGAACGAGAGGCATGATTTGCGGGGGCTGTTTCGTTGGTGGATTTCTCCATTTTCTTTTCCCCCAAACTAATTGGGAAATTTGGAAGCTGTCTGTTTTCATCTAACTTCATCTTCCTTCTTCTTTCCCCCTTTTTCCAGTTTTTACAACTTTGAGCCAACTCGAGAGCGTTCGTCCAGCTGGGGTTTCTTTTTTCATTTCAATTTGCCATTTTTGTTTTACATTTTTTCTTTAAATGCTAAATTAATAAAAACATCTCGATTTTCTAATTTATTTAAAAAAATATTTAAATTTTTAAAAAATTTGATAATATTCTTAAATTTTCAAAAAAAAAAAAAATAATTTAGAATAGATTCATAATATTAAAAAATACCTATAAAATTTAAAAATTAACATTAAAAACCATTCATCATCGGCATCTCATAGATTATATTCCTTATTTTTAAAAGTTTATGAACTTGATACCAATAATAATTGTGTTTTTAAAGGTATTAAGAACCCGAGAAAATAAATACAATTATTAAAAAACCATTCGTAAATTGATCGTATTAAAAATTAAAAAAATAATCATAACTTATTTAATTTAGTTTTGAGTTTCTTCAAACTTTATGACTACTTTTATACATTGCTAATGAGGTGAACACAACTTGGATGAAGATCATAATCACAAGCATCACAAGAAAATGCCCAAAACCTGCCTTGCCTTTTGCAAAAATCACACACATAGGCTTTCGCCAACTCCAATTTCAGCACATGTTCATGCTTTATATCCTCCACCTTTGAAGCCAATTCCTCCCCTTCCTTTTTCACCGCTGCTTCCAATTCCTCTATTCTTTCTTCTGTAAATGGGAATGCCTCTGCTCCATACAAGCAAACCAAGCCTCTCCCGTTCTCGCTCGCTGGCTTTCCGTCGGCCCCGATCAGGACTAGTGTCGGAATCGTCTTGACGTCGAAGATCCTGTAGAGCTCTTGCTGGCTCTCGTCCTCATAGGGGATTGCAAGCCATGGCATGTCTGCTACGTTGAGTTTGAACTCGACGAGGTTTCGGTCTGTGGATACCAAGATTACTTCTAAAGAGTGATCTTCTGTTTTGTCCATGATTTCCTTGTATACTTTGGAAAGTTTTGCTGTGAATGAACGACTTGGAGGGCTCCAATATGCACCAAAATAAAGGCCTATTGTCTTACCAACTAGCTGAGATATTGGTGTCTGCAATGAGATGAACTTGAAGAACATTAGAACTTTACCTTAAAACAAGTAACAAAATCATGATCTTTGCTTTTGGATACCTTTCCTCCATGTCTGGAAATAACATAGTTAAGTCCTCTGTTTCCCAAGAGGTCTTCGAGTCTTCCTTCGACACGCTTGGCACGGTCCATTGCCTTAAGTTCTTGTCTCCTCTTCCTTGTAAACGGAAATGCTTCAGCACCATAATCTTCAATAAAGCCAATCAAGTCATCTTGTTTTGAAATCCCATCTCCACAAAGTGGAACGAATGACGGGATACGATCGACATGGTACTTGTCGCACAATTGTTTCTGCAGCTCGGTGTCGTATGGTGCAGCGAGCCATGGCATGGTCTGGAGGTATTGTTCAAATTCATTCTTATCATGGTCCAAAGAGATGAATATAATCTCTAGCTTTTCATCTCTCTTTTGCAGAGTGTTATAGAGTTGAACCAACAGTGGAGTGAAAGTCCTGCAAGGTCTACACCAGTTTGCAGAAAAGAACAGGCAAATCATCTTCCCTGCACATATTATTGGAGACACCTATCATATAGGAAAATCAACTCATCAATTTCAGAAATGTTTACATCAGAAATCTAATTTGACTTGCAGAGATAATTTAGAACGACTTTTAGTTAAAGCATTGATGAACAAAATAATTTAGAATGATTAGTATCCATCTGCTTAAAGTTTTGGATTTAGTGGTACGATATTAGAGCATAGTTTTTGTGAGATCCCACATCGATTGAGGAAGAGAACGAAGCATTCTTTATAAGGGTGTGGAAGCCTCCCCCTAGAAGACACATTTTAAAAAACTTGAGGAGAAGCCCGGAAGGGAAAACCTAAAGAGGATAATATCTATTAGCGGTGGGTTTGGGCTGTTACAAGTTTTGTGCTTTGTTTCAACTCCGTTGGATTTAGTGGTACGTAATTTAAATGATATTACAGCATAGGTTTTGTGAGATCCCACATCGGTAGGGGAGAAGAACAAAACATTCTTTGTAAAAGTGTGAAAATCTCTCCCTAGCAGACACGTTTTAAAAACCTTGAGGGGAAGTTCGAAAGGGAAAGCCCCAAGAGGACATTATCTGCAAGCTAGCTTGGGCTGTTACAGGTTTTGTGTTCTGTTTGAACTCCGACATAGTCATTTCTTCCTAATTAATATCGATAATAACTCGTTGGGGCTTGTGCTAATTTTCAATCCTACAAGTGAGGGGCGAGCTAAAAGTACAGATGAAATATTATTTATTGAAACCCGCTACGCTTTTCTAGAAGCAGAAAGTATCAACTTACTCTTGGAACACTACAACTCTAACACCAATACAAATAAACAACGGTGAAGGTAGGAAAAAGAAAGAGCTATAAAATGAAACCTTTTCTTGACCAGAGAGAAGGAATTCAACCCCTTGAGCTGCCAAAATCTGCAGAAGATCATTCTTTTCCTGATTGGCTTGATAATCAGGCCCTGCCATTAGAACTGCAAGAAGAACAAGAAGAACAGGAATAAAAACAATGATTTTTACAGACCCATCAAAGAGAGACTCCTTTACATATATAGACACTGAGGTTCATTCTGCCATGGAGTTCTGTGAAGATTGGCAATAAGAGTTTAAAAGGGAAATATTCTCTCCGATGCTCTTTTGGTGGTTAAGAAAGATGAGGAATATGAATGGACTCGAGGTTTGAAATAAAAGTGCAACAGAAAGGATTTGGATTTGGGAATGTCCAGTTTCGGATAAGTAAAAGACAACCTTTAATGTCTCACAAAGAAAAAGGTTCTTCAGTCCCCAAGGCCAAGACAGTGACATGCCATATCAGGAGATTGAATGGATACAAACACCAAAGCATGTTGGAATTCTTTTCCTTTCTTTCTTATGCTTTCTTCTGTCTTTTTCTCTCTTCAAAAGGATTGCATATCATAAGCTAAATTACAAATAAATATACACACATATCTTCAAACTTTTACATGTTCATCGTTTCAAAGAAGTTGCAATATTATCTTGATCATCGAAAACGTTTCAAAACTATCATCGAAATTGGAGTAGGAATAGATAAGGAATAGAACGTTGAACCAAAATTGAGATATGGAACGGAAATTAGGACTCGAGCACTACCACACTCATTTCAAATCTCAATTTTCATTTAAAATTCTAATAGATTTCGACATCAAGTATAGTTTTGAAACATTTGGAAGAAAAAACATCTAGATAATATTGCAGCTTTGGAAAGAATACCGTTAAAACCAAAAATAAATTATTCTAGATAAGAAACCTAAAGAAAAGGAAAAACAATTTTAGAGCGAGAGAAAGCGAAACAGATTATAAAACGATAGAATGCGATTTTCTTTCTAGTTTGGATTTAACAGAAAAATTTCCATAGGGAAAGAGGGAGAGAGCATAATCAATCATGATCGTAGCTAAATAGATGATGGATGCTAATAATTTGCATTCTAAATGAGAAGATCAAAACTCGAATCACAAGGCAGTTGATGATCGATCCTGTTTCAGAGAACAAATAAAAAGGAAAACAAAGTTCAGATTCAAAGTGAAAGGAGAGAGAGAGAGAGAGAGAGGCACTTACACGGAGTTGGAGGAAGCGATTTCCAGAGAATGTGTGCTGGTTCTTCAAATTGATGCAAAGTTTCAGGTTCTTCAAATTGATGCAAAGTTTCAGGTTCTTCAAATTCTGTAGCCATTGTCACTTTCAGACACGGAACGCTCTGCCTCGCTCACTTTTCACTCCACAAGAATCTGAGTTTTTTTTTTTTTTTTTTTATGTCGCATGATTCAAAATAAAATATTCATCTAACAAAATTATAGCATGTTCAAATTATTTTAGGGACTACTAGCCATTAAAATGAGTCTAACCTTTTCTTTTGCAAAATATTAATTTCATTTACATATCAAAAATTTTAAAAAGAATTATTCTTGCAGTTTTGATTCATTCTCGTTTTGATTCATTCTCGTCTTTATGTTAATCAGATATTATTTATTTTTGTTCATTTTAGTTTATTTACTTTTAAAATTTTATAATTTTTAAGACTAGCGTTAAAGACTATTGAGAAGAGTAGTCCCACATTGACCAACTCCAAAAGAGCTTGGAATCGAGTTCGGCCTGTATCAATATAAGCACAATTCTCAAGTAGATGATTGATCGTACCAAATTCCTATTTCAAATGGTTCAAAGCAATAAATAGTCTTAAAAAGTTGCCTTTAGTAAGTTGGATAAAAAACATCATTCCATGAATCGATCGGCTCCTATTTGCCTATACGTAAAGTGAGAATTGCTTTCATACTTCATCTCGATAGAAAAGTAAATGGGTGAGAGGCATTACATCGTGTGGGCGTGAGTTAATATCATTACCAAATTCCCATGTAATGACACGAATGAGGCTAACGACTTTTTTTCAACAATTGTAGAGTAGGAGATCGAACCAATACCTACGTGACAACATAATTTGTGGGCTTTAAATCACCAAATATCCGAAATGCTTCATGTTTTTCTTTTTATAGCCTTTGAAAACATGTCCTTGATGTTCCGTGATTCTGTTTCCACCTTCAGATTTTTAGCTTGCTTTCCATTTCTTGTATTCTTTGCGCCACTTCTAGTCTTATCCTGCCATATCACAATTTGCACAATCCATTTGAGAAGAGAAAAGAATACAAATGAAATGCCAACAAAAGAAACGTACATATTTTATCAACTCTATATGAGTTTGAGATCGTTCTTTAAAGTAATGTTTTGACGTGAAATACTCGAAGTGTTTCGTCTAATGACGTTTTAAGAAGTAATTCTTACCATTTAGTCACTCTTCCAGATAATTGAAATGTGATTTTGATCCATCAGAAAACATTTTTCAATATTTTAAAATCCATGCACTGCCAACTTCCACCCACCCAAACACCACCCTTTGCTTATAAAAACATCTTTGGACTAAATCATAAATCATGATTAGGAATACTTCAAAACTTCAAAACTGACGTCCTACGTCAGTTGGAGAGGGGAAACATCTCTCTAGGAGACGCGTTTTAAAACTTTGAGGGGAATCCCGAAAAGGTAAAGAGCATAATATTTGCTAGCGATGAGTTTGGACTATTGCAAATGGTATCAGATCAGATCCAGTCACTACAAATGGTACCAGAGCCAGACACCAGATTGTGTGCAAGTGAGGACGCTGGCCCCCAAGAGAGGTGGATTGTGAGGTCCAACATCAGTTGGAGAGGAAAATAAAACATTTTTATAAGGGTGTGGAAACCTCACCTTAGAAGACGTGTTTTAAAACCCCAATGGAAAACCCAAAGAGAATAATATTTGTTATCAGTGAACTTGGGCAGTTACATTCACACATCATATGCGAATAATCACGGAGCAACATAATTCGTTGGTAGCATGTAAGAAAAGGGAAACAAAAAATTGAGGCAATTACAAGTCATTGGGAATTGTACCTGTGAGATAGAATCAAAATTGTTCTCTATTCTTAAAGGAGGCTTTTCTGCATCCGATGCTTGTCTGGTTGCTTCAGCAAAATTTAACCTGCAAACAAAATCCAACAGTATCTGGCCTCAAATACAGCCACTTGGTCCATTTGTGGAACTGTAAAATGTACAACATCTTAATTTCTATGGTTAAGAGTAGTTGAGGACTAAATACTTGAGATGGTCACATAGAAGCTTCAACCAAGGTTCATCTTTCAAGTATTCCCCTAATATTGAAACTGCATCGCTTACTGTACAAAAAAAGAAAGACCGATGTAAGAGAGGCTATCAATTCATTCAAACACAAATACTTGCAGCAACCCAGGAAATTTGCTAACTAAAACAACATTCCCTTAAGTTTTTCTATGTAGAATGCATATGATGACAGTTTTCAACCTCACAAAAGACATTCAGTCCATGATTTTTGTTTCTTTTTCCTCAACAGATAGTTTGTTCTTTTTAACTACATCAATTGCTCACATCATACTACATAATATTTTAAATAAAATCCATGAAAATTTCCCCAGCTCCACTACATATGACTAAGAAAATTAGCACCATGATATGCACACATCCAAAAGAAAATTTCCCATGAATCAAATACAATTTCATCACTAGAGGTGGCCTTAATTATTAAGTTCAACATTGAGGTGTCAGAGTATGGAAGTTCTCTTTGATGTCAGAATATAGTAGCTTCAGCTAATCGAATCCCAGACGCATTATGCAAAACTACTGATGATGTCCTCTTTATATAGTTTTTTCAGATGTGCCAGATGATATTAATGCATATTCTACAATAGGGAACTATAATGATGAAGATAAAAAATGAAAGAAACCCAGCTGCAGTGTTAAAACGAATGGCATAAAGGGGTTATAAGTCTCTCCAGAAATATACATGTATCTTTTTCTTCCCTTGCAGCATAGTTTTTATCCAGTGTGCATAGAGTTTTTTTCAGCTGACATACCTGCAACAATAAAAGCATAAAATTAAATAATATAATAAATAAGAGAATCCGCAAAATCTCTTCCAAACGATACTATGGAAAATAAAAGTAGCTGTTTTATGGAAAAAGCAGTACAGCATGAAGAGTTGGCAACAAGATACTCCCATGTTAGAAACTGATGTAAAACAAGATTCATCAATCACCTATGAACATGTTGATCATGACATGTATTATTGTTAATTGTTCTCATCTTAATGGACCAATTTTGAAAATTTCTAGAGGAGAGAACGAACATGAACCTTGTGATATAACCATGCCAAAACCTTTGAATCATCAAGCCTAAAAAACTTAGAAGATCCAACTTCTGCAGGAGACAAGACAAGGTAGGAGAAATGAGAATAGATTCTAGACATGCTTGATTTTTTTTTATTTTTTTTTTATTTATTTTTTTTTCTAATTTTATATACTATATGCCCACCTTTGACCTCACATACTACTTGCATAGACTTCTCTGCAACAGACAGTAAATGCAGATATCCAGGATACCCATTGATGAACATTATGTCATCTAATTGCCTGAATTTCCCAGGATCATCTCCCTTCTGCAAGAAATTTGAAATAAAATTCTCAAAATTTAGCATTAAATCAATCGAAAATATTAATAGTTTCAACGACGATAAATATATTATAATGAGTTCAAATGAACAATATAATTAACTAGCTCTGTACGCATCACAATTAGACCAACAATTTCAAGATAAACAAATGGACATATAAATTCCAAAAGCAACCAGGGAAAACTTGAAATTGTATCTCTAATTTCCAAGCAGATTGCAAACATATATCACTACTATTGTAGAATGCAAAATAATTGTATGCAGCACACAATTATGCTCCATCTCTCAATTATGATATCATACAACTTTTGCAGTAAGAGTACCTTCATTCTAGCTTCCTCGAAAATGGGCAAGAAAATGAATACAGGATCTATTGGAGTAGCGGAATACAGCCGACCATCTGTAGACACAAAATAATTTATATTAAGTTATTTATTCAAAATTACTTGTGTTTTATAGTTTATTTTCAATATGTTATACTTGAATTAGCAAAATCTTCAGGAGATTCAAACCATTAGAAGTTATGCAGTAAGTCTAAGAAATAAGGCATCCACAAAAAGATTTTCAGTGTGACAGTTGTTTACCTTCAGTAACATAATCTCCCAAAAACCACGATGAATATGACTGCTTAAACCAGTGAATTTCCTCTAGCAACTCGTTTACATATAAGAAACATGTTGTATTTCCTGCCAACGGACATCGAATATACTCAATTAATAGAATGATTTTGTAGAAATATGATGAGCATTCGCTAAAGCTTGCACTTCCTTACAGTTTTCCACAATGAAGTTATGCTGAAAGATGGTTACCGATCAATAGGATAGCTAACCAGATAAAGTATTTAGATAAATATCATTCTCCCTCCAGTTCCTTAAATTACCTGATTTTGGATGGCGAAGTGAAAGCAGGCATCCAGTACCATTTTCTTTTACCCCATGATCTGTAATAGAGCAAGAAAAATCTGAGTCAAAATTTCCAAAATTAAAATGAAATAAGTGAGCACCTTAAGAAATGGCGAGATCAAGAACATGAAAAATAAATAAAACGCGGACATACCAGGGGCAATGAGGATACGAGTTTCCTCGACGCCTTCCCACCAAGCCATGGAACAACCCTGACGGTCATCGAAGCAGTAACATCAAAAAATAATAATCTGAACTAAATTGAAACATTGAGCTTCATTCTTGAAACCTAGTCTTAGTTTATGCATACACCAGTTTCAGTTCCGAGTATGAGAATCAAAACAATCGAGGCGACAATTTTCATCTCAGGCAAAGAAAGCGAAGAACCATTTTTACCTACGAAGAAGGTCGGAGGAGCACCGGCGTCCACAGAGAGATGAAGTAACGAGCTCGCCGGAAACGGAAATGTGAATGTCGACGGCGGGAACCAAGCGAAATCGAGAACCGGAAAAACCGCGCGCGCCAAAGGGAGTGGATACTGAGCTCGGTCGCTTACCAATTCACTGACCAAAAGCGTAATGAAATGGGCCGAATGAGGCCCAAGTTTCAAATCCCTTTTAAATATTTCGTATAATTATTTTAATAATCTAACTTGAAAATAAAAAAATAAATAATAAAATAGTCAATAATTATCTAAAATTAAATCACGAAATAAAATTATTAAAAATACTTTATTTATATAAAATTTTGGTAATTTTTTTTAAAAAAAATTATTTAATTCAAGACACATTTTTATCATAAATAACCGTCCATAAATCTCTTATTTTGATCCTTTTAACTTCTTAGTTTTCTTAGGTAAAAATAAATAATTTTTAAAAATAAAAAAATTACTTTATATTATTTATGATTAAATAAAAATTAAAATATGTCGGTGATATTATCTATAACTCTATGAAATTAAAATTAATTATTGAAAAAGTAAATAATAATAATAATAACAACAATTAAAATTCACATCACATATATTTTGAAAAATTAGAAAAGAAAATAACTTATATACAAAGTTGCTGCTAAAACGTTTTAATAATCACTGATATGAGTTCATAATCTACCTATCCGTTATTCGTTCAATACAAAGGCACCTTTTAAATTATGTTTTACATACATAATTATCGTCATTGTTTTAGTCTTCCGAGCATTGTCTAGCTCAAAAAGGAAAATTCTTCCTCGAGAACGGCCACTTTGAAGTTAGAAGAATTAGAATAGAAACTCCCGTAAGAAGAATAGTACTCGTCATCGTCATCGTCCTCGTTCAAATTCAACTCAATTTTTTCAACCGCCTGTTTCAATCCCCATCTCTTCCCAATATCCCGCTCACAGCAACACATTCCAATCTTCAAAAGCTTCAACATCTCTCCGTTACAATCCCAACGCCCATCGTCCTCCTCCTCCCCACATCCTCGACCAACAAGATCGTTATCGAACACCTTCGTCGTCCATTCCTCTCGGACGACAGTGTCAACCCAAGCAGCGAGGTCGGCATTGGCACCATTGCCCTGGTGGAGATAGTTGGCTGGGGACTTGCCAATGAGAGTCTCGAGGATCAAGATTCCGAGGCTCCAGACGTCAGTGGATTTCGAGGTGCGGTCGTGATGGGCTGCGAAGTCGGGAGACTTGAAGGCGGACATGTGGTGGTAGGCGTGGGATTCTTGGAGGAGAGGGAAAAGGGCGTAATCAGATAGAATTGGAGTGAAGTCTTGGTCGAGAAGGACGTTGGAGGATTTTAAATGGCCGTGTGGGACGCTCGAATTTGGGAGCTCTTTGTGGAGATACGATAGACCTCTTGCTACTCCTTTTATGATTTTTATCCTCCGCCTCCAGTTTAGACCTGTATTGCCTAATTTAGATAATCATCATGAGTTTATAGGTAAGAAATACATTTTTATTTGTAAAAATAAAAAAAAAAATAATATGGTACAATATCAAGTAATTTAAATAAATAAATAAAACGTACCACTTAGGTGACTAGCCAAGCTGCCATTAGGAACAAATTTGGACACCAAAAGCTTATCATCCTTCCCATAATAAAACGCAACAACCGGCAGTAAATTGGGATGAGACAGCCGTCCAAGCCGCCGCATGTGGCTGTAAAACTCGTCTTTTCCGGCGGCGTTCATTTGCCGGAATCTCTTCACCACCACCGCCAACCCGTTTGAAAGCACTGCTTTATAACACGACGCAAAGCTCCCACTGCCGAGAACTTTGGCCTGGGCGCGAAGAAGTTCTTGGAGGTCGAACCGCGGCTGGTCAGTTCGCAGAAAGCACAAAGCCGACCCGGTCGGACCGTTCATGTTCGAGTTATCTTCCGAGTCTGTCGAGGAATATTGGTGGGTCTTTTCCGGCCTTCTGAAGAGGATTTTCGGAGAGAAGAACAATTTGGGTGGCCGGAGAAAGCAGCAGAGGAGGAGGATAAAGAGGATTAAGGCGGCGGCGGCGCCGGAGAATAATCCGATGAGAATCGACCAGTTCTTTGTGGATGATTTGCATGGTGCTAGTGGCTCTCCACATAACCCGTTGTTGCCTAAACAAAAATATCAAAAATATATTTAATCTAAAGTTTAACAAATATTTTTAAAATAAAAATTTATTATATATTAAAAAAAATGTAGACGCGACATATAAGAATGTCCCTCTCTTTGCTTTTGGTTTAATTTTCGTCCAATAAATTTTGTAATAATTAGAGGAGAAAATTGTAAAAATTAGGGTTTTTTTCATTTTGACTATCACTTTGAGGCTTAAGGTATGACTAAGTTCAATGCATGATTTTGATACCATGTTAGATGAATACGACTCTCTACAAGTTTTCGAGGCTCAGGGCATGACTAAGTTTAGACTATGACTTTGATACCATGTTAGATGAACATGATTTTCCACAAGCTTTAGAGGCTCAGAGCATGACTAAGTTTAGGGCACGACTCTAGTACCATGTTAGATGAACACAACTCTCTATAAGCTTTCGAGGCTCATGGTATAACTCTGATACCATGTTAGATTAACACGACTCTCCACAACCCTTTGAGGCTCGAGGCATGACTAAGTTTAGGGCATGACTTTGATACCATGTTAGATGAACACGACTCTCCACAAGCATTCGAGGCTCAGGGCATGACTTTGATACCATGCTAGATGAACACGACTCTCCACAAGCCTTTGAGGCTCAGGGCATGACTCTGATACCATGTTAGATGAACACAATTCTCCACAATCGTATGATATTATCCCCTTTGAGCACAAGCTCTCATGACTTTGCTTGATGACCTCATACCAATGGAGACAGTTTTAAATTAGGGGATGTGTGACTATCATGCCATGAATTATTTATTTTCTAATATATTTTTTACTATGATGTATTTGAATTCATAACTAAAAAAACATTATTTAAAAATAAATTAAGCCTATTTTTTTAGTTTAAAAAGTTTTTTTAATGAGAAAAAAAAAAACAGAAAATAGTTATGAACATACCAAAAAACGAAGTGAAATTGGAGTTCTTGAATCCAGAAGGAACGGGCCCCACCAAACGATTTCCAGAAAAATTCAAATACTTCCAATCCCTTTCCTCAAAATCCGGAATCCTTCCGGCGAACAAATTATCTTCCAATCCCAAATCAACCAGCCCCTTCAATTTCACCAACGACGCCGGAATCTCGCCGGAAAATCGATTCCGGCCCAAATACAGTTTCTTCAAATTCCCCATTCCTTCAAACTCCTCCCCAGAAATCCAACCGGAAAAGTTGTTATCCGACAGATACAAAGCCCTGAGCGCCCCAATTTGCTTCACGTCGGGCATTGGGCCTTGAAGCCCATTGTTCATCAGACTCAGAGTCCTCAACGTTGGGAGCTCCGCCAGCGGGGCGACGTCGACGGTGCCGCCGAGGCCCATGTGCTCGAGGCGGAGTCCGTACAGTTTGCCGTTTTTGCATATCAAGCCGGCCCAGTAGCGGCGGGCGTCGGCACAGAGAGGGGCGGAAGAGTTCCAGTTAGATAATGCGGTGGCGTTGGTGAGAGAGGATCGGAATCGGAGGAGGGATTCGGCGGCGGCGGCGGAAGTGGGCGGCGGAGGGTTGAAGAGGAGGAAGCAGAAAAGGAAGAGACAAGGTTTGGGCATGGTGGAGACTATTTATTTTATTCATTAATTAATTTATCGATAATAGAGATGTATAAAAAGGGAGTTGGAGCCATCGTTAACGATGTCGTTTTGACGCTCTTGGCGTTCTCGGCGCTAACGAGTAACAGACCATTATATGACGTGTCATTTTCTCTTGAACCAAAAAAAAATTTGTTTTATCTTTTCTCTTAAAATACGTTTTAAAATAATTTAAAAAAATTAAATTCCAATATAATAACTCGACATATTAATTATGACGATAATAAATAAATAATTAGAACGAACATTTTAAGATTATAAATAGATATCCATTTCAAGTCATCAGTACCGATTCTTCGTAATTGTTAGCTGGTTTGTTATCGTGATTTGTTAAATAAATATTTTTATTAATTTAATGGATAAATTTTATAAAATTAATTATTTTTAAATCTCGTAAATAAGATACAATAATAATAACAATGCAATTTAAATCTCAAAGCTCGTGATAAAATGAAAATTAAATATAAATTTTGCACACGAGAAAATAAACATGAATATTTCTTAATATTTTTTTTATTAAAAATATAGTTTAAAAAATAAATATTTTTTTATTAAAAACATTTAAAAAGTTCGTGAAAAGGGGGAAAATGGCAGACAGCCAAAAGAGGAAATGGACGCCATTAAACACGTGGTCAAATTCCACCGACTTTCATATGACCACAGAAATTTGGTCCCTTCAATAGAACCAAAAGCTACCTTATAATTTGCAAAAAAATAATATATATATATATATATAAGATAATATTTTATAGTTTTGTGAGAGATATTTAAATTTGATGAAATCGACACATATGATGTCTTATGAGGAGATGAGTCCTACATTGGTTAATTAATGAGCTGATCATGAATTTATAAGTACTTAACATGTCTCATTTGGTATGAAGCATTTTGAGAAAATCAAAAGTAAAATCATGAGCTTCAGGAGAGTACTTTATTCGATGATGTATTTTGTTCGAGGGCTCCATATGCTCTAGGGGAGGTTCTATGGTGTACTTTGTTCGAGGGAGGAGTCTCACATCGAGTAATTTAGAAGTCCCACATCTCAATGAGTTATTTTGAGAAACCCCAAAAACAAAGCTACAATAACTTATGCTCAAAATGGACAATATCGAGAGTCGTGATTCTTAACACCGAAATATCTTTCTCGTTTTAATTTCTTACTACTCACAATAAATTATACTAAAACTAAAACGAAGCTTAAGAAATTTGTAGCCATATGTACGAGACCTTATAATTTAAATTCGAGTGCAAAAATCATACCAAAGGGCACCTAATATTAGGTCAAAAACTACTAACACTTCTTTAAATTAATTGAATAAAATTCAAGGCTAAAATTTGACATTTCAACGGTAAATTTTGAGTAATAGATTTATTTATTTTTTCGTCTTTTTAACAATGGGATAAATTTAAATAAATTCTTTTACCAACAGTCACTTGATTTTATATTTTTTCAAATTACAAAAAATCATTTTATAATTTGAAAAAATTAAATTCTTTATTAAAAAATGAAGATTTTGTTGTTATTGAAAATTAAGTGTCCAGATTCATTGAATCAAATCAAGAAAAAAAAAACAGAAAATTAAAAAATTTTGAACTCCGAATTCCGGGCAGGTTCAATGAATCTTCCACTTAATGGCGATGGTGAAATGCATCCATGTATGGGTTTTTTAAAATAAAATAAATAAATAATTAATTATAAGTTTAGATTTTTTTAATAAATAAAAAATTTTATAAATTGAGTGAAAATTACTGATATAACGATTATATAATTTGGTTATTTTTTATTTTTAAAGATCAAAATTTTAGCATTTAAAAAAATAATTATTATAAATATATTTTATAATAAAGAAAACAAACCTATGGATGTATGATAAAAGGACATGCATATGCATGAATGGGAGTGGCATCCATGGCGCCACAGGTTTCCGTTTCGGGAAGACATTGACTATAAATTCATCATCTTCTTCAAGCTCCAGCCGCGCAGAATCAGAGCCATAAGAAGAAGAGACAGTGGCAGAGAGAAACGCCCTAATTTTTCTTCTCTTCAGCTAAACGCGAATCCGTTTAGCCTCTTCGTTTCTCTCCTGCCTTCTGCTATATAAGTTTTCGGCTCTCTCTCAAGTGGAGCAGAGGAATTCATTTGTTTAAACTCGTCGGAGTTCTTGTAAGCATCGGCCTCTCATTTTCTGTTCTCCTCATTTCTGCGTTTTCGAATCGAATGATGTGATTATTCTCGCTGGAGAGGTTTTCGAGTGGATTTTGTGTTCTGTCTTGCGATAAATCTATTGTTATTTTGTCTGTTTATTTTTTGGTTTGGAATTTGTTCTGGCGAGAAGGATTTCGAGTAGTCGACGAGCTTAAATTTGAATGAATTTGTTGATTTAATCGAGGGAGGACTAAATCATTTAGAACAGAACAAGACGAAGGACTTTAGGAATTCTTGTCCTAATTGATTTATTTTCGGGAAAATTGTTCTTGCAGGACGTCAATTTAATCATGGTTCTTTGGGTGTTTGGCTATGGATCTCTTGTGTGGAATCCGGGATTCGATTTCGATGAGAAAATGATGGGTTTCATTAGAGATTATAGGCGTGTATTCGACCTTGGTGAGTTTCTTCCTCTCGACATTCGAATTCGTTAATGGCAACAAAAGTTTTCTAATATCTCATTTCCCATTCTACAGCTTGTATTGATCATAGAGGTACACCTGAAAATCCTGCTAGAACTCTCACGCTGGAACCTAAAGAAGGATCAATTTGCGTAAGTTCTAAATCCATATTCATTTTCTATAATGGAAGAATTTTCATAACCTTACCTAATTAGCATTATTTCTTTCTGTCAGTGGGGTGCTGCATATTGCATCCGTGGAGGTCCTGAAAAAGAGAAAGAGGCCATGGAGGTATTCCCCTCAAATTTGTCTTGATTTCACTAAAAGCCAGAATTTATTCCCTTACCCTTTGTCTTTTGCAATATAGTATCTGGAGAGGAGAGAATGCGAGTATGATCAAAAGACTATTGTAGACTTCTACAAGGTAATGCTAAGGCCATATGGAAGAGCTTGCTTCATTATTGGGTGTGTTCCGTTTGTCGTGTTCTTATTTTCGATCCGTTTCCTTTGTTGATTCAGGATGAAGGCTCCATGGAACCCACATTGACAGGAGTTCTTGTGTAAGCTTAAACATGTCACTTTTGTTCAAATTCTTACATGGGACTGGTTGAACAAGAACATGAACGTTTCTGTTTTCTTGATCTGATAAATTTCATGTTTATATATGCAGTTTTACATCTACACCTGATAAATTACTGAACAAATACTATCTAGGACCTGCTCCCTTGGAGCAAATGGCTAGGTAATGGCTAGGTTTACCACTGTGCTTTCAATGTTTTATACCTCCCCTGAAATGGGTTCTTTCTAAATCGTTTATTTACTCACTTTTCAGCCAAATTGCAACTGCTTCTGGTCCATGTGGGAACAATAGAGACTATCTATTTCGGTTAGAGAAGGCCTTGTTCGATATCGGTAACGATCCAGTTCTTTGATTATAATTGAGTTCTAAGTTGATTGTACCAGCTACATTTGAGTTTGAAATTGAGTATCTGCATAACTGATCAGGCCACGAAGAAGATATGGTGATCGAGCTTGCGAACGAAGTGAGGAATGTCCTTGGGAAGGTCGGAAAGAAGAAGCTTATTGGGCCGACGACCCACCTGCCTTTCATGTCCTTCATCTCAGGAGTTCAGGTGCATCCTCTGGCAGAAGCAGCTGTGGCCATAGATTCTTAGAAAAGACGGAGAGATTGGTTGAGTAAGCTAACTGAAGATCATTTGGATTGATAGACTGCCACTTCTTTGATTCACTTATGATTTCCCTCGCTGTTTCTGATATGACCCAATAGAGTTGTTCTTCCTCTGCGTCTTAGAGCTTAGCTTTAGACCATTTTTAGAGATTTAAGATTGAAGAATGGTAGAGAATGAGTTACTTCGCTAACGGTGAGTTTACACAGTATTTTATGAATCTTACTTTATCACTTGAATACGAAATCAAATAACTAGTTGTTTTGGAGTTTTTCATTTTGTTTATAGTAATCTCCATACTAAACAAGAACTTAAGTCAAATATAGTAATAGTAATGATTGCAAGCACCTGTTTTTAGTCCGAGTCAAATATATTAATGGTTCCAAGCACCTCTTAAATATAGTGATGATTCAAAGTAACTCTTTTTAGTTTGAATCAAATATGGTAATAATTCCAAGCTTCTTTTTACACTATTTAGGAAACTCAAATACAAAAGTTAATCAAATAGTCAACTGATACACAATTTAGAGTGAGTAAACAGAATTTCATACTCGATCTCATAGATACATATATAATTTTGTGGAACTATGTAGATTTGGAGGAGATCTTTCATATCTTCTAAGATCCAAAAGAAAACTGATTCTTGAACCCTTTTCAATGAATGGTGGCTTAAGAAGCATTCAAAGTTCACTGCAATATCCAAAATCTTTGCATTCAACGTTCATTGCAATATTCAAAATCTTCGCACTCAACTTTCACTGTAATATCCAAAATCTTCGCACTCAACTTTCACTGTAATATCCAAAATTTTCGCACTCAACTTTCACTGTAATCTTCACAATAAAGCAGTTAATGACTAAATTTTATAATAAATTATAATTAATTAAAAGATTATAACTTTTATGATTATCAATACAAGAGCTAATTGTAGCATATAATCTTAGAGATAATTTTCTAAAATTTTAAAAATATAATAAAACCTATTTACATCTAAACAATTTAATTATATTTTGGGTAATTAGTATATTTTAAAAATATAATAAAACCTATTTACATCTAGAAGACACCTATATATCTAAGGCCACAGATGCCTTAGCTAGTATTGGAAGTAGATAATTAGTATATTTTGGGTAAAAAGATTAAACTTAAAATTCACATTTTTAATTATATTATATAATAATTCTCACTTTAATTTAAAATGAGAAATTTATGGTTTAATCTTTTTAAAATAAATAAAAAAAGATTTATACTTTTTATTCATTGGAGAAGAAATGTGATTTAGGGTTTAATTTTGTGGTTTATTGGAAAATCAATATTTTCACAATTAATTTTGGGGACTACCATTATGGGCCGTCATAAAGCCCAAATCGATATATACCCACAAAGGCTTTGGACTTTAACTCGGAGCCCAATTTTGTAGCTTGGCCCAAAACATAACGAGCAAAAGGAAAAAAAAACAAAAAGAAAAGAAAAAGAAAAAGAAAAACTACTTGATCGAGAAGTAAGGTCGAAGAACAAAAGCCCCCAACACCAAAATCGAGCTCTTTCATTCTCCGGCAATACGTCCTCTTTCACGACCGTATTTGAATTTCGCTCTGGTTTCTTTCGAGTAGCTTCTCACCGCCATGGATCTCAATATGGATCTTAATGCTCCTCACTCCATGGGTACCACCATCATCGGCGTCACATACGACGGCGGCGTTGTCCTCGGCGCCGATTCTCGTACCAGCACTGGTAAATTTATCGTAGTTTCTTAAAGAGATGTCCGAAATGATTAAATTCAATTGGAGGAAAAGTAGTAATAATTTGTCTCTTTGTCGAACTGGGAAGAAAATCATTTTGTATCCATCACATTCGGAATCTAGCTTAGCTTTGTTGTTTCGAGTTCTTATGAGTAGGTAATCATTGAAAGAGTTCATTTCTCGTGTTGTTCACCCCCTCTCCCCTGAATGGGCAAATAGCGAGAGTAATTGAGTGGATTTCGTTGTTGGTTGGATTTTCTTCATGTGAATCTTCTGCATTTGTTGGTCTTTTCAAGCATAGCTGCTTAATATGACGAGCTTTAGGGAATACCAATTGTCCGTTACAGTGATGGGTTCTGAAAAATTATGTAATCTAGTGGAGGGGGATGCACGAAGAGTTTTTAAACTCATCTCCCAAGCAATCATCAATAACCTGTTTACATATTAAATGGAAAAATTAATCTCAGTTCGTTTGTTTTCATCCACTTTTTCCCTCTTTGCGTGCTTTCTTGTGCTGCATTGATGTTTATATTTTTTTTAATTGTTCTTGTGATAGGTGTTTATGTGGCTAATCGTGCATCTGACAAAATTACAAAGCTTACTGACAATGTCTATGTTTGTCGGTCTGGCTCGGTATTTCCATTTCTGTTCTCAATTTTTTCCTTCAACTTCTTGTTCTAGAATTAAGATGTCAGAAAATCTCTCAGTTCATGGGTGTTTGCTATTGTTTCATAAATGTCTTATTTTGTGCCTCTTGCAGGCTGCAGATTCTCAAATTGTCTCTGATTACGTGCGTCATTTCCTTCATCAGCATACGTGAGTGCTTTAATTATTGGCGGTGTTATGTTGCAAATTTGAATCTGTAGGTTAATTATAACTCGATCACTTTGAGCAATTTTCTTTCATTGTTTGTGATGAATTTTGGAAGATTGGATCTGCTAGCAAGTGCATTTCTTTTTGTCTGTTTTCTCAGTGAGTTTAAAAACTGTTGGAAAGAGTTGAAAATTCTTTACTTTATTCCGGTGTATAAATCAATTACTAAGGTGTTGGAGGAAGAAGCACGATGATTTATTTAAGCACAATGATTTATTTTTCTGTCACTTGATACGATAACAAGCCGTTATGTTAACTAGCTTGATGAGTTCTGGGGATTATTGTTATAACTCTAGATATGCTTGATCTGATGGGAATTTGTACTTCGGATCATTAAAGATGGTGTTTATTTAGAACTTCTCTTGGCAACTGTACTTGTTTATACATCCCCTACGAACTGTCTGAAGATATGCTGTTATTGGTAATTGTAATACAGTTGGTTCTTTTTAATCCTAAATTGCTCTTACTACCTCCGTTTCATTATTGTCTCTTTGCTGATATGTCAACCTAAAGACGGTTGTTACTCATTCTGATTTCTGGTTTCAGTTTTCATCATTAACAAGTTATTTGATATAAATGAGGAAGCCGCTTGAATTTATGTGCGAGTTTTTTCCTGTCGAGTTCTTTCTTATTATGTATTATTTTTTATGCACAGGATACAGCTTGGCCAGCCTGCGACTGTTAAAGTGGCTGCAAACCTTGTTAGGCTATTAGCATATAACAACAAGGTAGGAGCTCATATTAGTTTGTTCAAAAGTATCCTCATAAAAAATGTATGGATAGCAATTTTGGATAAGAAACGATACAATTCATTGAAACAGTACAAATTCCCCAACCCAGACAAGGAGATTGAAAAAATCTCTCCAATTGGCCAAAATTATGGAAACAGACTAATGACACAAGTGCCTAGCTGGAGAACAGAAACCTCTTTTCTATAGATTTATTTAGCAACCAGAGCTCGCAGAAAATAACCATAATCATATTGATCCACAGAACCATTCATTTTTCTCTGAGAGGGGGACTGCTTTAGGCCTGTTGTGTACATATTTTAGCCTTAATGATTGATAAGTCTTACCCTCTTTTTTGGAATAAAAGATAATTGTATTAAAATTTAAGTACAAATATGAGTTCAAAAGGGGAGGAGGAGGAGGAAACGTCCCAACTAGCTTTAGTAGATAAAAGGATAACTCTGCAATTGAGTAGAACATCATCACAGTTCCTTTCCTTTCTGTTCTTGTGTAATGAACATTTCAGAGTTTCATGTTAAAATAAAACGAGAAAGAGAGGAAAGGAAATGAATTAGGTCAAATATAAATAATGTATGGACATTTTAATACTGGAATTCACTTAGAATGAAGAACCCGTGACTTGTGAGACTGCACAAATTCGTATTCAGCCTTTATGTTTTCTTGAAAATGATTTGGAGCTTTTCATAAAAATTCGTTGTATTGTGTTTAGGATCATTACGGGTTGTTTATGAATTCAACACAAGTAAAGAATGAGAGATTTTCAGGGTTCTACTAAGCATCCACTTCTGTTTTTATTTTCTTTTATTTTCTAATTTTTATCTTAGTGTTTATTCATTCAAACAATCCAAAACAAAAACCATTGGATAGTTGTTTGATGGACTTTGATACATTCCTCTTTTAAAATTGTGGAAAAGATACTCACCCTTTGCTTTAATGTGGTTATGTGGGGTATCTGGGGACAGTGGGAGGAGGGTCTCTCTTCCTCTCTCTCTGAACCAGTTTTGTATGCGAGTGAAGTCACACCACTTAACTCCAATAAAATGTTCACAAGAGTGCTCTTTTCTTGCTATGTTCAAGTGAAGCTATATTCTTGTTTTTCTTATCCAAACTAAATACATGCTTTAATATCAATGCCGTTTCATTGAATGGGCAGGATATGTTACAAACTGGCCTTATTGTTGGTGGATGGGACAAGTATAACGGTGGTCGAATCTATGGTATTCCTCTTGGTGGAACAATAATAGAGCAGCCATTTGCTATTGGAGGTACCCTATTGGTTATAAAAAAAATAAAAGTTATGATGTATGGTGAATTCTTTTCTGGCATCCTCATGTTTTCTAGCTTTATGATGTGGTCTTCTGCTTTATCATCCTTGAATGAATGAGTTTTGATTAGATTTTTATGCCCCTACATCTGGTTTTTGATATACTGAACCCATAGAGATGGGAATCTCAAGCATGTCTTCTATGTCGAGAAAATATCATCCTCTCTCCCCTTCTCTTCTTTTGGTAATTAGATTTCGGACATTTGCTGTTACAATCCTTTGTTCTCTACTTGCAAGTATGATCATTACCTGGTTTCTCTTATTATTTTACAGGATCTGGCTCCAGTTACTTGTATGGTTTTTTTGATCAAGCGTGGAGAGAAGGAATGACTAGGGAAGAAGCTGAGGTATTTCTACTACTCTTATTTGCGAATCAAGTGTTCTGCATTATTATATTCTTTGTGCTTGCTGACTCAAATGCATACGGTTTTTTGGATGCATTCTTTTAGGCTCCGACCACTTCCAAATATTGGTATTTCTTTGTTCTTCATTTCATGTTCATCTTAGTATAATAGCCCAACGTTTATGACTAGCAGATATTGTCCGCTTTAGGCTTTCTCTTTCTGACTTCCTCTCAAGGATTTTAAAATGCGTCTACTAAGGAGAGGTTTCCACACCTTTATAAAGAATGTTTAGTTCTCCTTCCTGACCGAGGTGGATTACAAGTTTTTATCTGTTCTGCATTCCATGCTCACCTGTAAGATGCGCATCGTAGTTACTCAAGAAATGTTCCTTTTAAGGGAAATATTTCTTCTCTAAGCACCTTTCGAGAAAGCACTTATTGAGGTGGAGTTTGCTAAGTGCAATCTCTGAGACATGAACTTAGTCGACGGGGGTTTTTTCTCTCTCTGATTATATGCTATCATTTGCAGCAATTGGTGGTTAAGGCCGTTTCTCTTGCCATTGCTCGAGATGGTGCAAGTGGTGGTGTTGTCCGTACTGTTACTGTAAGAGAATGTTCTTTTATAACATAATCTATTACTTAAAATCATGTTCAATCTTTAGTTCTCATAGCTAAAAACTGTTGCGTGAACTCGGGCATTTTCAGATAAATTCCGAGGGAGTTGCAAGAAAATTCTATCCCGGGGATCAGCTACCGCTGTGGCACGAGGAATTAGAACCTAAAAATTCATTACTGGATGTTCTGAATGCTTCTAGCCCCGAACCGATGAACGTATAAAGCTAATGCTCGGATCTCTGCCAAAAGTTCTGATGGTAACTCTTATCTGGTTAGGCTATTCTACTTTTCTGGAAAAAAAAGAGAAGAAAAGACATGCGCCCTCATTGTGTAAACCTAATTATGTTTTACTTTGCATGAATTTTTTAGTGTACAATGTTTGAGTTTACTCTTGGTCTATGGCACATGCTTATTCCTGCTGCCAAACACATTTTCTTAGAATATACAAAAAAAAACAAAAGAAACCCGAACCAAACCATTAACTGCGGGGGGGTTGCGATGCTCTCGTTGTCAAATTCGTTTAGTGTCTTCTATAAACGGAAGTAACTCATTGTAGACATTCGTTTTCTTGATGATCATATTCAGACTATTGATGAGTTGGTTTCCTCATAAATTGGAATAAGCTCTTAGTCCACAATTGTTTTTAGATCATTTGAAAGAGAAATTGCTTCTATGTGCTCGGGTGTGCTAAAATGAACGTTAAAGTCGTTCATAGCGATCACGAACAATGGCACCAAACCCTACCTCCTTAGAATTCTATTAAGCATCAGAATTTAATTTTGTACGTATTAAGAGATGGTTGCTTCCAATGGTCAATGGGTTGTGTAATTACACTCACAAACGTCCACAACTGTAGTTTAACTACTTAAAAACAAAAGTTTTAAAGTGCTTTCCAAGGTTAATAGTCATTTATTGCAACTCCATGTTCTTGTTTATGATATTAAGGTTATAAAGAAATTTGGCTGAAAAATTTATCGTGCATTGATTAGTCTTTAAAAATGTAATGTAAAAACTTCTTGAATTGTCTTTGTCCTACCCCTTATCATCGTCCCTTCTAGTACATTTAATAGATTAGTGAGATTCATATCACTTTCGTGATCACTCATCTACAATCAATTAAGACTAAATTTAATTGAAAAGATCAAACTTAAATAGTTTGGACTCGAGAAAAGAAAGAAAAAAAAAACAAAAAAAACAAAAGTACTACTGAGGATATATATATATAACTAACATAAAATCGTACGCTATATCACGCGTGCATGCTGCCACGTGCGGGTAACGGATAACCCAATCGCATGGATGGATTTTTCTTAAAAGGAAAATGCAATCCTATAAAATTAAGATCTACTGCTGTTGTATGTCTTGCCTAAATGTTAAGTGTGCTAGGTTATGGAACAGGGCCATTTGCCTTTTGTGTTCCTCTCCCTCTCTCCTCTTCATTGTACTTGTGCTTGGCCATGAGTTCTAAGTATTTTAAGCTGAAGAACATCTTTCCCCCAAGTTGGACGCGTTTATTTAATCGATGATTAATTTGTTATGAGTTTCCTTTGTAGTAGACGTGCTTTCCTTTGGATCAATTACAAATACTATTGTTATATATAATATTGATGCTTTGGGTTCGAAAAATTTAGTTTTCCCTTTTAATTTTTCATAACCTTCTACGATACGAAACAAGGAATGGAAACGGTCACGTTTGGACGATTTTATAGGGATGATTACTGGATTTGTAAAAGATTTGCAATTGTCTGAGCCAAAGCCAAGAGTGGCAACTTATGAGGCATTGTACTTTAAGGAGGTGATACCCCTCTCATGCTGCCTTTGATATCAATTCTTAGTATTTTTGGATTATGAATGATGCATACTTCTTAGATAATTACTGTTCATCTTACTATCTCGTGTATCTCGTGATCAAGAGAGGTAATTCACACAACTTTAACAATTTAGATCTTAAAAAAACATTCGATTATCACATTTTTACTTTGATTTACTCACTTATTTTAAATAATAAATCTAAACAAACTCAATCATAAAATATTTGAGGTTGAGTTGGACTAGTGTAACCATCCAAGTCATATTGTTCTACTTGTTTATCGGGGAGAGTTTTTTTATAGGAATGTTTTGTTCTTCTCTCCGATCTTCATCAGACTTCACGAGTAATTTATTAATATTTTTTTTTTTTTTAGTAAAAATAAAATGTTAAAATGTTTGAGAAAAATTCATCCGATCAAAAATGGGAGTATTTGAGTTATTGAATTTTTTTTGAACACCTTACATAAAACTCTATAAATTGAAAAAAAAAAAATGTTTAAATGAAGGGTAGATTGGTAAAAAGAAAAACAATTAAAAAAGGTAAAAAAATTAAGAATAAAAAGTGTGTTACTTCAAAGTCCTTGCAAAGATTTCCGATTATTTATTTATTTATTATTATTGTTTTGAAGTAAACAAAATTGATTTTTCTTTTTTCCTTTTTCAATTTAAACGAGATAAAACAGGGAAGGTAGAGGGCTAAAGTCGTAATTTCAGTTATGATCGATATTCTATTTAAGGCAATCACGTAGGTTCTTTGAAGCAGCGAAAGTTAGGGTTCCATCCCAGCATTTTACAGCGGCAGTGATGTTTGATAGATTTAGGGTTAATTTATCGTCTTTCTTCCCGGTCTCTTGATCGTAGAGATTGTGAATTTCATGGGACTGAAGTTTGGCTCTTTGGTCAATTTCGTATGCCATAGAGATGAATGCAGTTCCCTAAATCATCTCTTCAACCTCTTCACCCATTTTCGCTAAGGTTTTTTCTCCTTGTGAATATTTTTGTCGAGGCTGATACATGATTTATCATTCTTCAGTTCACATCTCTTTCTGTATTGTCTCTGTTATTCTAAATTTTGAATCGATGTTATAAAGACGATTTTGTCTTAAATGATTGGAGTTTTGATTTCGAGTAGTAATTCAGGCAGCCTCTCTGCAATTTTCATGGCAAAGGAGGCGTTAAACTGCTCGTAGATCGAATCGCTTATGCTCTTCAGACTTGCTGAGGTTTCCTCTGAAGCTCGTCTAGTAAGCCTAAGTACATTTGTTTTCTGGACATACGTTTTACGGATTTCGAGTCGCTGTTCTTGCTTGATTTCACTATATGTTCTTTCTTCAGAACCTACCTATGATCATTTAGCTGAGTAGTGGTTGTTAAATTAGAATATATCTTGCAGACGCAGATTATTCAATGACTTTTTAGTGTTGCAAGAACCAGTGGTTGGTGGATTAATCCGGAATTTTGTTAGAGGAGCTATAGAGTTGGTTGAGTTACATTTAAAAACACTTATTCATAGGTGGATCACTCTTGATTGTAGGACTTTCTAGACCTAGACCGGCTTGGATTTTGATTCTCAAATTATTCTTAAGCTTCTTCAGATTATAGACCAATAACTTAGGTTGAATTCAAAATGAACCATAGCGGTACATGTAATTCATGCCCATATTGCCACAATTCATCCATGTATTTCAAACAATAGATGCATACTTTGTAAAGTTATATCAGGTAGTCAAATTGTTGAGTTGGATTGTTTCGAACAAGAACTGAATTGTGGAATGTGAGCCAAATTTGTGTGAATCACATTTTTTTGTTGATGCAAACACACATACTGATGATGCCAGCATTGAAAATAATTTGAAGCTGAAGATGAAGAACGACCATATCTCAGCCTATGTGATGATTTTGATGGAGGAGCCAGTCGCTTGATTTGTATGATTGATGGCTTAGGGTTTGTTTGTGAGATTTTAATAAGCCTTCGATTGTAACAACTTTCAAAAGAACTGAAGCATTTGTTTTTTTTGTATTATGCTCTTTGGATTCTATACCTCCTTAATGAGGATTCTGTATATTATCAATGGTGAGGATTGTGTTGGTTATGCTTTTATCTTGTTTCTATATAGAGTCCCCCTTCGAAGGCCTTCGGTTTATGTTGATAATTTTGACGATGACAAAAGAGGAAGACGAGGTCAGTAGTCATTTATTGCAAGTCTATGCTCCACTTATGAGCCTTGTTACTTTTTCATTCATATCATACTAAATTTATAAAGAAATTTGTCATTTATCTTAATTAGTCTCTTGAACTTGACTATTTGTCATTTATCGTAAATTGATATTACTTTGAAGATATTTTGTCATTTAGATTCGCTTTGAAGATGTAATGTAAAAGACCTCTTGAAATAAAAAAAAATGAAAATTCGGCGAGAGTCGCCGACTGGAACACTTGGAGGATCTCTTGTGTTAATCACTCTCATTCCTCTCATTAAACCATATGTAGCACTCCTAGCTATAGCTCTAACCCGATTATTTTCTAACAATTGTTGTACTTCACAATTCACATTAATTTCTTGACCGACAGTATCTTGACCTTTAACTATCAAAGCGGTGTAAAATATTAGGCATTTTACTCAGGGAAAAGCTACATCTAGTACCAGACCAATGATTTGAGCAGTAAGAAAATCTTGAATTTTCTGTCTTACTCTTGTATCATTTATAGGACTCTTGAATTTTCTGTCATACTCTGGACTCTTGAATTTTTTGTCTTACTCCCGTCATTTATAGGACTCTTGAATTTTGTCTTACTCTCTTGTTTTGTCTTACTCTCTTGTTTTGTCTTACTCCCGTGTCATTTATAGGACTCTTGAATTTTGTCTTACTCCCGTGTCATTTATAGGACTCTTGAATTTACTTTGTCCTACTTCCTTTGTCATTTATTTATAGGACTCTTGAATTTTCTTTGTCCTACTCTTGTCATTTATAGGACTCTTGGAATTTTCTGTTTTAGGACCTCTTGAATTTTTTTTGTCTTACTCCCCGTAATCGTTCCTTCACTTTGGTTGTCGCTCATCTCCAATTAGGGGGTCGAAATACTCGAGAAGTTACAGAAAATAAGAAAAAACATTCAAAAGGCTTAAAATTATGATTTCTCAAAAGCTTAAACTGAGATGGTTTAGACTATAGATAAAAAAAAAAAAAAAAGAATTAATGAACAAAAGTATTAGGGAGGATATATAACTAACAAAAAATCGCACGCTATATCAGGCGCTCATGGGTAACGGATAACCCAATCGCATGGACGGATAAAAAAAAAAAAAAGAAAAAGAAAAAAAAAGCAATCCTATCAAATTTCAGAGATTTTGCATTGCAATAAACAAAAAATGGAAATCTTCAAAAATATTTTATTAACATAATTTAATTCAAGTTAAACTCGTGGAGCAGATTCTGGGGGTACTTCAAAAGCTCCGCCCATCAAGAATCTTGGTGTAATCTCATTGTCGCTGGGAAAGATGAATTCGACAGCGCCCTCGCCGGTCGTGGTTAGCACTTCTCCTTCCGATCAATCATCCCGCGTTTTCGTCTATGGAAGCCTCTTAGCCGATGACATCGTCCGTGTTCTTTTCGGCCGCGTTCCTCAATCATGCCCTGCTGTTCTCGATGGCTTGTCAGTCTGTTCTTACGAACTCTCCTTTCCTTTTTTTAATCTATATTAGCGTATTTTCTCCGTCTAAATTGGTATTGCAAACGAACTGAACGAATTTGTGTACCTTTTTGGTTTCGTAACTTCGTAGGACAATGAACCGAGATGTTTATTGCACAATCGATATCTAAACTAGTGTGGAGAATGAATCTGATCTTTTACTTTTGATTATTCATCTACAGATCATTTACGGATTCATATGTGCGATTTTGTTGTTAAAATTTGGCTGTTCTGAATTTGTAGTCACAGATTTGGCATTAGAGGACGAGTGTATCCAGCTATTTTGCCCGTGGAGAAGAAGAAAGTTACCGGAAGGGTAAGAAAAACCTACATTCTTCTTTTTAAGCTCTGGATTTGATTTTGTTTGTTGTTTCCTTCTCATTTGTTGGATTCTTCACACTCTTGGAGAGATACCTGATATCTTCTTATTGAATTCTCTGTCGATTATCTCCCTCTCCTGTTTTGGCGTCTCAATTTAAATTGGCGAGTGCTGCAGTTATATGTAGATCATCATCAATAATTCAAACTGCAACTCTTCCGTTAAAATTCTCTAGATTTGAGGTCATTGGTAGAGTTTATTGAACAAATCATGTTGCCAACGGTCTCATTTTCCATTATGAGTAAGCATTCTTATGCTTGTAGGATGCCAAAGACATTTTTTCTTTCCTGTGTAATCATAGACATGGCATACGATGAACTTTTAACCTGGCCTTTGTATGATGATAACCATAGACATGGCATATGATGAACTTTTAACCTCATTTACAAGCAATGGCTCTGCTCATTGGCAGGTTCTCTTGGGCGTCACGAGTCCAGAACTAGATATTTTGGATATATTTGAAGATGTTGAATATGAAAGAAGGGCTGTTGATGTTTCCTTGATGGTAAGTACTGAAAACCATCTAGTTCCTTTTAACTCTTAAACCTCGTTTGATAACAATTTCGTGTTTAGTTTTCGGTTTTTGAAATTTATGCTTGTTTACTCCCAATTTTCTTTCAACGGCTTTCACATTTCTTATAGTCACATTTGAATTTTTAGTCAAATTATAATACAAAAACAAGGTTTCAATAACTATATATATGTTTACAAAATTTTGTTTGGTTTTTGAAAACGTGGGTAGGAAGTGAATAACAAAACAAAGAAGCTTTTAGGTGGAAACCAAAAAGAAAAAAGAAAATGATGATCAAATGGGACCTCGACCGCTTGTCTTATCCATTTTATGTTGTACAAAGAACAAAAGAAACTTCATGTAACAACCAAGTCCACTACTAGAAGATATTGTCATCTATGAGCTTTCACTTTCGGGCTTCCCCTCAAAATTTTTAAAACGTATCTACTAGGGAGATATTTTCACATTCTTATATAGAATGTTTCGTTCTCCTCTCCAACTAATGTGGGATTTTGCACTTCACTTCAACTACATATAGTGATTTAGAAGGTAAGGATGATACTTGGATATGCACTGCCTGGTGCTTTGAGCTCCTTTCTTGTGATTTGATAATAAAGTTTTCATTGTTGAAATTTCTTGTGGATGAGTTTTTGTTTAATGTTTTGTAAACGTTTTTCAGTAAGCCTACTAATCTTTGGCACATATTGGTGTGGACAACGCCTGCTTCTTGTTCTTCTCAGGATGGTTCCGAGAAGTTAACAGCTCTTACTTATGTTTGGAGCAACGGAAGCGATCCAAATCTGTATGGAGAGTGGAACTTTGAGGTAATACATCTTCTTTAGTCATTTGGTCCTCATCAATTTGGGTTATAAATTTTGGTTCTAATATTTTAAAATCCTCAATTTTACCCTTGTTGCATGATAATTTGCTGTTAGATCCTTTCGTTTTTTCTCCCCTAAATGTTTGTTAGCAAAGAGCTTCTCATTGAATTAATACGTAACAACCTAAGCCTACTACAAGTAGATATTGTCTTCTTTGGGCTTTCCTTTTCGGGCTTCCCCTCAAAGTTTTTAAAACGCTTCTGCTAGAGAGAGGTTTCCATACCTCTATAAATAATGTTTCGTTCCCCTCTCCATCCAACGTGGGATCTCACATAATATTTGATAACTTATTTGGACATGTAAACATTCGAGTTCTAGTTGGATATACCTGTTTGAAAAAAGTGACTTTTATGGGTAGTTGGGTCAAATTTCGAGGATAAATTAGTTGGATTCTATATCAAATAGCCTTTGAGTTATGGAACACCTTTTTACAAAAGTGTGCTAGGTTATGGAACAGGGCCATTTGCCTGTTGTGTTCCTCTCCCTATCTCCTCTTCATTGTACTTGTGCTTGGACATGAGTTCTAAGTATTTTAAGCTGAAGAACATCTTTCCCCCAGTTGGACTCGTCTTCATCTTTCCCCCAGTTGGATGCGTTTTTTGTTATGAATTTTCTTTGTGGTAGACGTGTTTTTGTTTGGATCAATTACAAATACTATTGTTATATATAATATCGATGCTTTCGGTTCACCGTTCTAACTTTTCATTACCTTCTATGAACACGAAACAAGGAATGGAAACGGTCGCATTTGGATGACTTTGTAGGGATGACAACTAGATTTGTGAAGGAGTTGCAATTGCCTGAGCCAAAGTCAAGAGTGGCCACTTATGAATCATTCTACCTGAAAGAAGGAGGTGATACCCCTCTCATTCTGCCTTGATATTTTTTGGATTACGAAGGATGAATACTTCTTAGATTATTATTCCTTATCTTACTATCTCGTGTTCAAGAGAGGTAATTTACCATCTCGTGATCAAGAGAGGTATTCACGCAACTTTGACAAAACCTGATATCATATTTTGTTCCAGTTCTTATTAGTGTTGTTTCAATGGGTTGAGTTGTACAGTGTAACAACTCAAGCCCACCACTAATAGCTATCCTTTTTAGGCGTGTTCTCTTCTTGATTTCTTCTGAAGGTTTTTAGAGTGAAGTTTCCACACCTTCTCCAATAGATATGAGTCATTTGTTGATTTTTAAATATCTAATTATGATTTACCATTCAATTTCAATACATATTTTTAAAAATTACATTCATTTTTAAATATGAAATTAAATAAATATATTTGTATCTTAAGTAAATTTTTTTTTTTAAATTAATAATAAATTAGAGTAGTTTAAACGAATTTGAGGCGAAATAACTCATAAAATTTATTTATTTAAATCTAACATAATCCAAATAACTTACCATTATTTTATTATAGTTTTTTGAACTAAAAATAGGATTTTCTTCTTCCTTTTTCAATTTAAACGAGATAAAACCGGGAAGATAGAGGGCTTAAGTCGTAATTTCAGTTAATATCGATACCCTATTTAAGGCAGTCATGTATGTTCTTAGAAGCAACGAAAATTAGGGTTCAATCCCAGCATTTTACAGCAGCAACGATGTTTGACAGATTTAGGGTTAATTTATCGTCCTTCTTCCCGGTCTCTTGATCGTAGAGATTTTCAATTTCATGGGACTGAAGTTTGGCTCTTTGGTCAATTTCGTATGCCATAGAGATGAATGCAGTTCCCTAAATCATCTCTTCAACCTCTTCACCCATTTTCGCTAAGGTTTTTTCTCCTTGTGAATATTTTTGTCGAGGCTGATACATGATTTATCATTCTTCAGTTCACATCTCTTCCTGTATTGTCTCTGGTATTCTAAATTTTGAATCGATGTTATAAAGACGATTTTGTCCTAAATGATTGGAGTTTTGATTTCGAGTAGTAATTCAGGCAGCCTCTCTGCAATTTTCATGGCAAAGGAGGCGTTAAACTGCTCGTAGATCGAATCGCTTATGCTCTTCAGACTTGCTGAGGTTTCCTCTGAAGCTCGTCTAGTAAGCCTAAGTACATTTGTTTTCTGGACATACGTTTTACGGATTTCGAGTCGCTGTTCTTGCTTGATTTCACTATATGTTCTTTCTTCAGAACCTATCTATGTTCATTTAGCTGAGTAGTGGTTGTTAAATTAGAATATATCGTGCAGACGCAGATTATTCAATGACTTTTTAGTGTTGCAAGAACCAGTGGTTGGTGGATTAATCCGGAATTTTGTTAGAGGAGCTATAGAGTTAGTTGAGTTACATTTAAAAACACTTCTAAAAAATCGATTTCCTGCATTAGTCTTCATGAAAGTTTGATTTTAGGACTTTCTAGACCTAGACCGACCTGGATTTTGGTTCTCAAAATTATTCTTAAACTTCTTTAGATTATAGACCAATAACGGTGGTTGAATTCAAAATGAACCATATCAGTACATGTAATTCATGCGCACATTGTCACAATTCATCTTTGTATTTCAAATATCTCATAATATTTCAAATAGATTCATACTTCGTAAAGATGAATCAAACTGGTTTCTATATTTGGGTAATCAAATTGTTGAATTGGATTGTTATGAACAAAAACTGAATTGGTATGTGAGCCAAATTTTTGTTAATCACATTTTTTGTTGGTGCAAGTACACATACTGATGATGCCAGAATGGTAAATAATTTGAAGCTGAAGATGAAGAACGACCATATCTTAGCCTTTGTGTGGTGATTTTTTTGGTGTTTTTTTTTAGAAACAGGTTATTGTAGTTATGAGATTAAGATTTTAAGGTCTTTCTACCTTTCTAATTTTTGTAGCCTATGCATAGTTGCGATGATGTTAACCACCAATGGTTAGTCTTGTTTGTGAAGGCTTTTCAATTTGGAAAACAAGAACCTTTTGAGACTGGTATGCCTACAATTTACTCTGTGGGGAGACCTATAATTTCGACTTATCGCTTGCTTAGAAGACCGTAAATTCTGATGGCTGGATATTGAATGAATGAACTAAGATTAACACAACTTAATGAATTTGGAATTAACAGCTAGCTGCTTATTATATCTTAAATTATTCTTCACAAGTCATGATGCTCATACTAGTTAGTTATGGTGTTTTGGGTTAAATTTACTGGTGTACGTGGTCGGGTCTGATTTTTTTTGCACCCAAAACTTTTCACAACCCAACCTTCCAGACAATTATACCCTCCAGACAATTATAGTCGATTTGACTTGTCAGACAATTATAGTCGATTTGACTTGTCAGACAATTATAGTCGATTTGACTCGTCAGACAATTACAGTCGATCTGACTCGCCAAGCAATTACAGTCGTCCTGACTCGCCAAGCAATTACAGTCAGAAGTGACTTAACTCGCCAGGCAATTACAGTCAGAAGTGACTTAACTCGCCAGGCAATTACAGTCAGAAGTGACTTAACTCGCCAGGCAATTACAGTCAGTCGATCTGACTCGCCAGGCAATGACAGTCAGTCGATCTGACTCGCCAGGCAATTACAGTCAGTCGATCTGACTCACCAGGCAATTACAGTCAGTCGATCTGACTCGCCAGGCAATTACAGTCAGTCGATCTGACTCTCCAGGCAATTACAGTCAGTCGATCTGACTCTCCAGGAAATTACAGTCAGTCGATCTGACTCGCCAGGCAATTACAGTCAGAGGTGACTTAACTCGCCAGGCAATTACAGTCAGAGGTGACTTAACTCGCCAGGCAATTACAGTCAGAGGTGACTTAACTCGCCAGGCAATTACAGTCAGAGGTGACTTAACTCGCCAGGCAATTACAGTCAGAGGTGACTTAACTCGCCAGGCAATTACAGTCAGAGGTGACTTAACTCGCCAGGCAATTACAGTCAGAGGTGACTTAACTCGCCAGGCAATTACAGTCACAGGTGACTTAACTCGCCAGGCAATTACAGTCACAGGTGACTTAACTCGCCAGGCAATTACAGTCACAGGTGACTTAACTCGCCAGGCAATTACAGTCACAGGTGACTTAACTCACAGTCAGTCCTCGCCAGGCAATTACAGTCGTCCTAACTTAACTCGCCAGGCAATTACAGTCGTCCTAACTTAACTCGCCAGGCAATTACAGTCGTCCTAACTTAACTCGCCAGGCAATTACAGTCGTCCTAACTTAACTCACCAGGCAATTACAGTCGTCCTAACTTAACTCACCAGGCAATTACAGTCAGAGGTTAAAGGTTACTTAACTTACCAGGCAATTAGTGAGAGGTGACCTCCAGTAATTATATTACTAGGTAATTCTTGGGTTAAACTTTTAAATTTTCATATTTGATTGCACTTAATATTATTTTAATAGGAAGAGTAGATCTAATATCTCCAAAATAATTTGAAAATTTTATTTTAAAAATTACTTTAATTTTTTTACTTATTTTTGAAAAATACATTATTCCGGTAAACTAAAATTAATTTTTGTCTTCCATTGGCGCGTAGATGACGTGCTTTCGTTTTATCCACAGAATGACCGTGACGATGAAGGCGAAGCATTCTATTCTGTTGCCAGTTTAGCTCTGTCCTCGCTCCAATGGCGACCATCGCTATGACTCTTACGAAGATCAACCTCGTCCGAATTTCTCCATCTCTGTCCTCTTCCTCCCGCTCTTCCTTAAATCCTACGCGTTGTTCGTCAATCCAGCAGGTCCAGGTACAAATGCATACAACTTCTATGCTCTCAAAGAATCTCCCTTAGCGAAACTACGTATTTGCTTCTATTTCTTACTTTTCTTCGATCTCCTTGAAGGTTGATTCAACAATCGCTTGCGAACCTTGTAATGGCAAAGGATGGATAGTGTGTGATTTCTGTGAAGGGCAGAAGACTAATGTGAAGGCCGAGAACAATCGTGTCTACCGACGCTGTCCGTCTTGCCGCGCTGTAAGTGAACTTCTAGTTTATATCTCTATACGTATGTTGAATATGGCTGCTTAACGCTATGCCAATGCAGTAACGCGAGGAATTTGTGCTGGATTGAATGGATGTATATTAGCTTTTCTGAAACTCTGATTTAAACGCGGACATCTGAGGCTTTTGGTCTTGAATTGCCTTTAATTTCAGAATTGAATGAAGGACCTGGTAGACTTACAAGTGAAGCATAATTATAATATAACCACTGAAGTTCTTGAATCGGTTATGTTTTCTTGCCAATATTTCCTTTTCCTTTTGGATTCTGTTTTTGCTTTTTCCACAGCAGCCTTTGTTTCTCATGTTCTATTGTGCTCCCCTCCTGGATCCTGCTTTTTCAGCTTTCAAGCTTGGTGTTATTCCTGATATTTGACACTCTAGTATTCTAGTCAGTCCCTTTAGGAATCAACCAATTGTACTGATAACTAGTTAAGATTACTGTTAATAGACACATTCTAGTAGATTTTGCTGATACACAGTTTCTTAAAATGTCTATAGCAATGAAATTTACCAAATGTTAAGATCAGAAGAAGTGTGGTGAGCTTGGCCTTGAAAGTCTACCACTGATCTGCTAGAGTAATCGAGCTGGGTTATGACCACACAAAGTGGACTTAATGGTCAATCTAGGTATTGAGTTAGTTCACCTTATGAAACCATTATTCACCAGATAAGAAGTGGTAAACAACTAACGGGAGCCCACTATTCATTGGTTCTGTTCAACTAACAAACATGTAGTGCTGTGATATTTTAGCATTTTGTTCATCTATTCCCCGGGAACTAGTGTTCGGGCTCAATAACATTGATTGCGAAGATGCCCAACATGCCTGGGAAGCATATATATATATATATATATATATGTCTTAACTTTTGTTTGCATATATACTCAACAACTGGCTTAAAAGCTTAATAAGGCAGTTCAATTATGCAGGTTGGATATGTTCTATGTTCAAAGTGCAAGGTTTTCAAGTGTGTTACTTTCCCAAACTACAGCGACGGTGTAGATTTATCTTTTTGAACGTCAGGTATCTCTTGAATTATATGAAAGTATAGAGATCTTTGTTGAATACACATTCTATTAGAAACATCTGTTGATATGAAGAATACATTTTTTACCTACTCTCTTCTTCCCTCGGTGCATTTTTGTCTATCTTAATTAGCATATAGGGTCCATTTGAGTATAATTTAGGAAGAGGTAGTGAAACAAAAATAGTTGAGGTAATAACAATTTAAAGGAAATGAGTGGATTTTAGGTTCAATAGTGTTATACCCAAGCATACTAGATTTTGTCTTCTTTGGGCTTTCCTTTTCAGACTTTCCTTCAAGGTTTTTAAAACATGTCTGATGGGGAGAGGTTTTTACACATATAAAGAATGTTTTGTTCTCTTCTCCAACTGACGTGGGATCTCACAATCCACCTTCCATCGAGGCCCAGTGTCATCGCTAACACTCTTTGTTCGCCAATAAATGTGGGAGATCACAACCTACCCTTTTCAGGACCCAGTGTTCTCCCTGGCACTCGTTCCATTCTCTAATCGATATGGGATCTCATAGATAGTGTCAAGAAGGCTTTAGCATCTTACTCACCTCTTCATTTTTCCATGTATAACCAAAAAACTGGAAAGATTCTTCAAGGGGCTCAGTCACAAAGTGCATGATAAATACAACGAAAAAGCTAGAATAACTAAAAAAGAAAGTGGTTTTTTCCTTCTAACTAATGGCTGGGAGTAAGCAAGCTATCATCATTCGACATATTTGTTGCTGAATCAATAACATACTTTGGGTTAGGAGCCTTCTTTGTTTGATTTCTTCTAGAAAAAATGATATCGGTGTGCATTGATTGTCAGACACTCAACAAAGTAACTCAACCATCAAGAACAAGTATCCACTTTGATTGCAAACTTCTTCATTCATTCACATATGTTTGGAGTTCATCGATGCACGGGCAATGATATCAAGTAAGTTTTTCTACTAAGTTGTATATTGCTTTTCACCCTATATATATTTTTTTTATATGAAAAAGAAAAATCTTTGGTTCATGATATCATTAGGAAACAACGAATGCATGCAATGGATATTATTTTTCTATATTGGAAGTATGATTTATTAAAAATTAGAAATTATGAGTATGAGTTGTTTGATTAATTAATGAATTAGTTGAGAGATTTATGATTTAATGTTTATTTCTTAATTAAATACCTTTACCATCTTATACCAAAGGATTAAGAAAGCGAAAAATAAAGTGTAATTTGGGAGAATATTGGGCCTGAATATTGGGCCATTATTTAATGTTAGGGGCCTTAAATATAGTAAGTTCTAAAAATGATTAACTACTGGGCCTGAATATTGGGCCATTATTTAAATAGGCCTTTTTAAATTCTCTACTTGAGGAAATTTGGATAGGAATTCTTTAATAATACTTTTCCAAATAATTATTGGAAAGATTTAAATTTGGAAAAGTTATATTTTATGAAACTTACCATGATTATTTTTAACAATTATAAAAAATTTAAATTATAAAAAAAAAAAACTCGTGAACTTTGAATTTTATTTAAAAAAATATCCCTTTTAATTGGTTTAATCTAAAAAAACTTACTAGTATATGGCTACTAAATCCCTTTTAGATAAATTGACCCGGTTCATAATAAAGAATTAAACAATATTAAATCACTATGTATTGAAACTAAATAAAACATATAGATAAATAATTAATTTATCATTAATAAATTAGAATAATACTTTACTTCATTAAAAAAATATATATATAAATTTTGTAGAATAATTCAAATTATATATAAAATTTTGATGCCAATTGGGTAACCAATTATAAAAATTAGTATTAGAATTTCTTTATGAAGAAGGAAAAGGCCAAGGGAGGGAGGGGTAACTTGGTAATTTCAAGTGTAAAGTTAGGTGTGGCAAGAAACAAAAGAGAAAGCTACCTATAAAGCATTTTTTTTTTTTTTTTAACTTTGAAAAATAATAAATGAATAAAAAGAAAAAGGGGTAAAGGTTGTTTGAGAAAATTAAAATAATAAAAATAAATAAATAAATATAAGTGGGGGAAGAAGGGATTCGAGCATTTCTTTTTTACCCAATGCTTCTCTCTTTTATTTCCTTTCTGGTCGGTCGGTGTCTGTCCTTTTCAAACGTCCCTTTTTTTTTTTTTTTTTTTTTTTTTTTTTTTGTAACCTATGATGAACTTTGCCCTAATTCTTTGGATTTTTAGGGGTTTATTTTTGTGAAAATTTGTTGAAATATTTTTTTTAATATTTTTTTTAATGCTTGGTAGAGGAATGCAGTTTTAGTGTATTGAAATTTAGGTGTTGATTTTCGAGTTGGGTATAGCGCATAATGTTGGTATTGTTAGTTGGCCTGACAGGTCTGACATACTAAAATAGGGGTATTCATATGATCCGATAACCTAACAAACCCGAACAACTCCACCAAGTTGGGTTGGTTTGCACTAGATTTTTTTTTTTTTTTTTCTCGATTTGAATTGGGTAGAGTTTTTGGAACACCAAAATTTTGGGTTGGTACGTGAGTTTACATTTTTTTGCCCAGGACAATCTGTTCAACCCAAAATTAGGATGACAACCCACTCTGCTTTTAAGATTATTAAGAACATTAAACATATTTGACGTTTGTACCTAATGTTATGTTAGTGATCTATTTCAACTTGTGAATATTTGGTATTTGAGTTTTATAAAATTTTAGTTGTTAATAGATAAGTAGAATTTTGTAAAATAATTATTAAAAAAAACTCCCCAACTCATACAATTATTTTGGTTGCTCGGGTCACCAATCTAAACAAACCCTAAAATTTTAGGTTGGTCCTTAACCAAAATTGAGAGTACAAGGACCAAAATAAACCAAAGACAGAGATATCGAGACTAAAACAATATTAACTTTTAAAAATAAAAAATTAGAGTTAAATTTTGTGGAGAACGCCTTTACTTAGCCTTATATCCTCAAAATTAACTAGGGCTACATAAAATTTCCCGATCCTTCCCTACCCTAAGGAATTTCTTCTCGTATTAATCCATCCCGTATGAAAAGAGAAAAAGAAAAAAAAAAAGTATTATACTTATTAGATGCATTTCATCGAATTTTATAACTTTAAAGATAATCGAATCGATATCTTATCCAGCATCGACTCAATTCTACGTATTAAAGATTCATAACCAAATTGACCAGCCAAAAACCTACCCTACCACGTGTCAAATCACGTCAAAATAAGAATTACTCCAACTTTCAAAATAAATTTGAAAAAAACTTTATTCTTTTTCACGAGACAACTTATTGCTTTTATTCTTTTGCAAAGATGTCAAGACCTTTCTTTTTTTTCTTTACCCGAACGCATGCTTTATCTAATGTATCTATAATATATATACCAACTTTAAAGCATAAAGAGAATATTATCAAATTAATTTCAATGATACATATATATATATATATTGTGAATAAAGTTTATCTCCTTATAGTATGGAAGAATATTCTTATATACTATCAAAAAAAATTTCATATATTTTAAATATACTAATTTTGAAAACTTATATAGTTCTTTTTCTTGAAGATGGTTAAGGGGCTTGTGGTAATAATTATACGTTGTGTGTTTTGGGTAACTAGCTACTAATAGTCACAATAACTATCAAGGTAAGGGTTACACGCTGTGTGTTATAGGTAACCAGTTGTCGATAGTCATTTTAAGGAAATAAGGAGGGATATTGATTTCCTCGTGGTAATGGTTACATGTGGATTTGTTGAAAAAACATACTTGAATTTGAATTTTTAACCTTGTTTCAAAAAATAATTTTGAACTTAGAATTTTTCACGGTTCGTAATATATTTGAAAAATACTCATAAAAGTTTAAAGATACTATTAATACAGTTTAAAAATTTTGGATGGTTAATATATGATGGAAATCGACTCTCAGACATTTCATATATATCATTAACTTTTGGAAATCGTCTTACAGTTAAAGTTGAAGAGTATTATTGAAATAAAAGTATTTTAAATTTTTTAAAAAAGTTTAATTACAAAATTATAGTGTATTTTTATTAATTTAAGAGTAATTAAAACGAAGTGGTTAAGAAGTAACAGACCGTACGGAAGGGTCAGCCCGGGCAGGTGGGTTAAGTTGGGCAATTACCTTGAGGAGGACAGTCATTCTGTGCAAATTGGCAACTGGAGTAGATTATGGGATCATTGAAGTCAATCACAATTATGCGGTGGGCCCCCACTGGACAAAACCATATTATTCCGCCACGTGTCAGCTTCTTGATTCTCTACCAGATTCCCCAACCATTCCAATTCAACGGCTCCCCGCTCACCACCCTATCTAACCCAATTGCTTCGCCTCTAAGTTCCCGGCCGCTCACCCCCCAACTTTTGTCATCCACGTCATCCAAAAGTTAATGTCCGAAATCAACTTTTTTTTTTTTTTTTTTTTTTTATATAATAATATTTTAATTAGTTGTAACATATGTTGTCCATTATTATTTGTTTATTCTATTTCGAGTATGCGTTCCTCGTGCCAATAGTAACTATGTTTTAGTTGAATTGAATTACTTGAGCTCTAATGCAGTGCAATTCATGATATGATACTGAGCTTAGTTGAGATACTGAGCTTAGTTGAGGGAACAAAATCGACAACATGGATCCATAATCTCAAAAAAATGATTGCCTTTGAGGGCTGGGCATGAGGGTCCCAATCCCGAACACATCGTCTGTCTGTTGGTGGACCGCTGCTCTTGAGATGAGAGCGAGTCGCTATGTACAGGCCTGGATATGGACTAGGAATGACTCCTTCAAAGATCTTTCTCGAGCTTCGAATAGTCAAAACTTTATGTTTGGGGTATTGATAATTATAAAGCTTGTGGAAGGGCAATTTGGTCAAGAGGCCACGTCAGACATTTTAACCTCATGTGCCGTCCACTTTCGCTCGCAGTCCCACGCCACCTCTGTGAAAACAACGTACCTTTGCTTGCTTCCTTCCTTCCTTCATTTCTTCGCCCAAACCATTCACTCTACAAAGCCCTATATATCACTCCCCCACTCCCTCTCTTTCTCCCCCTTTTCCCTCTCTTCCTCTCTCTCCGCCGAATGAAGCAGAAATCCACCATCTCCTCCGCCCTCCACCGCCGCCTATTTCCTATCACCCTCCCACGAAATAATCATGAAGCGTAGCGCCTCCGAGTTGGCCCTCGAAGAGTTCCTCAAAAAGGCCGCCGTCATCTCTCCCCAAGTCACCGACGCCGACGCCGACGCCGACGACGACGTTTTCAATCTCGAACGCGAGGAAGAAGTCATCAGAAGCCCTAAAAGAGGCAAAAACTTCCCGGACTCCGCCTGCTTCTTCGGCGATATTGATTTCAGTTATTTCCTCGTCAAAAATAATCGGGTCCGTTCAAATAAAACTATTCTTCTTTTATTATTTATTTATTTTAATGGAAATTGGTTACGCTGCATTCAAATATTTTATTTAATTTCTCGATTTTAAATATTCACGTAAACCTTTTGTTAAATGCATGAAAGTCGAATATTTAAAAATAATCTTTTTTTTTTTTTCTGTCCATGCAGTTTTTTTTTTAATATATATTTAGTTAGTAATTTTTTAATTAAAAAAAAATTGAAAGTTGCAGGAGATAATGGACGCCATTGTTAACCGTGGAGCTGGGCTGACGGAGGCTACCATAGATTCCCAGTCTTCTATTGGTACGCCCATTATTTACTTTTTTTTATTATTTTAAATTACATATATTTATTTAAATATTTTAGTCATAAATACAAGATGGGTCTTCCCGTTAACTTATTATATTCACATTTTATTTTATTTATTTATTTATTTATTATTTGTAAAGATTTTGAGGAGCACGTGCATTTTAATATATTGAAATGGAAAATGTACATTTATATATATATATATATATATATATATATTTGAAAAATAAATCTGTCTCAACAGAAAAAGAAAAAAAAAACAATTTATTTTTCAATTATTATTATCAAACTGGTCAGAAATCGGTATTTAGTTGTGTTTCAATTCTATAACAGTGTTGAACTGATTTTAAATTGTCTATTGTCTGTGGTTC